GCGTCGAGCCTGATGAACAGATTTATAGACCTGGTTGAATATGTTGTGAATAACACTTAGGTCCGTTTGATTGTAAGGGTGAAAAATGGATGAAAAGAAAATGAATTACAGGGAAAGTAATTGTCTAGAAATTGTTTTGTAGGGAATTGTTAATTTAGTGTGTTTGATTTGTATAATTTTCTACCCGGAAAATTTTTAAATTTTGTGTTCGTTTAACTTTAATTTACATGCAAATTGTCTATTAAAGTGATAATTTTTTCCACAATTGGTTATAAAATTTGTTATGAAATTGTTTTTTACAACTAGTTATGAAATTTGTTTTCATTGAAAAAAAATGGCAGCAGCACCTAGAAAAGCTTTTCCCATGAGGGGAAAAAGTTTTCCCTAGAAAATTGTAGCAATCAAACAAGCCAAAATCAAGAAAATGGAATTCCTTTTCCAAGTTCTAGGAAAAATAACACCAATCAAACAGGGCCTTAGTGTTGTTATATTTTCACCGTGATATAGAAAGTCAAGTACGTGGATGTTTGAGTTAGCTTTTGACAAGTTAACCGTAGTAGTGAATAATGTTTTTTATTTTTATTTTTGAGAGGGGAGGAGGGCGCGACCACTGAGTTGCCTTTTGACCACTATCAAAATGTCATTCAAATCAAGTGAGCTACACTAAAATCAAAATTACTTTGACAAAACGACACAAGAAAAGTTCTAATTTCACAAAGGTTGCAAAGCACGCCATAGAAGGTGATCTTTCCCCTGACCTCGCCATTTTGAGCTCGTGCATCGTAGCTCTTCTTGACGAGGAGAGTAGAACCCGTCCTAAGCACTACTAAATTGTCTAACAGCATGTTAAGCTCACTAACACAAAATTTCTACCAATCAGGAAAACCTATCGACCAAATTCTAAATCAATGGAAACTCAAAAGGAATAATCAAGGTTGTCACAATACCCATTAAAGTAATATGAAAAAAATGCACGGGTTTTGTCGGAAAAAAAATCAAATGGATTCAAGGAAACGTATCAATAAGCAATGGAGGTAGCATTCTACCGATGTCAAGTCATGG